TAACACCTCCCGCTCCTATCAACCGCACTAGGGCAGGTTAACCTCACGTGGCCCCTCTCGAGGCATTTATGGCACCGCATAGGGCACGCCTCGAGAGGGTCCACGCGGGCCACCCCCCAGCCGACCCGGATCCTTCCCATCCGGGTCAGCTCTCTCGCCGCGGTGAGGAGCAGGCGCATCCAGAGGCCGTGGCTGCCCCCAGCGGCCGGCTGCAGTGCACCGCACTGCACGTCGGAGGCGCCACAGTGCCCGGCCTCTGCAGCCCACCCCTTCACTTCTTCGACGTCCAAGGAGTCGTCGAGGTCGCGTAAGCGCACCTCGGCCATCCTCCTTGGACGGTCGACCTTCGTGCCCTCCTCCCCGAGGAAGACGCGCGTCACATACCCCGCGAGAAGGTCAGCCTTATCGGCATGCCCTTCCCCGGATACCTCTATGATCTTGGCACCGGTGGCCGCGGATCTGATATTGACCCGGCCCTCGATGCCAAGATCTTTCAGGCTGACCTCCCACCGCAGTCTGGCCATGGCCGGTAGTCCCCGTTGGGACGCATGAGGACCACGGCCGACGTGCGCGGGAGCCTCCGCCTGGGGGCCCTCTTGGGCGCTCCGCCGGCTTGCCCATTCGCCGGGGGGCCGGGGGCAGCCGCTTTAGGGGCTCCCTTAGCCGCCTTCTTCTCCGCGGCTCTGGCCCTCCTCCCCACCACCGTCGCGAAAGTCTCGACGCCCGCGACGGGCTGGGAGGGCCCGGCGTTCCCCTTCTTTGGGGGGTCCGCCTCCCTCGCTTCCTGCATCTGCTGCTGGAGGGGGCCTTTCCCTTCTTCTTCTTCTTCTTCTTTTTGGCCCCCCCCCCCGCAGCATTCGCGTCCTTCTTCAGGGGGTTTACCCCCTTGGCTCCGCTCCCCCGGTCGGCCCCGGGAACCGGGCGGCCCCACGCGGCGCCCCCTCCACCCCTTCGAGAGTCGGAGGGGCCCGCTGCAGGGCCGCTATCACGGGCCCCGCCGCCGACCAAGGACCGGATCGTCTCCTCCATCCTCTGGAGGGACTGGGCGACCACCTCCTGAATCCTCCTTTCCACCATCTCCCCCGTGAGCTCCCCTGCCTTCCCAGGCAGGGGCCTCCCCGCCTGCTTTCGCGGGGGGTGGGGGGACGGTGAAGAGGAGTCCTTCGCGGGGGTTTCGGGATTAGCCCGCTTTCTCGAAGCGGACTTCTCCCTCTTCCCCACCCGCGTCTTCCCCACCCCCGTGCCAGCCGCGCCCGGCGTGACGACGTCTTAGGTCCTCTTTTCCGGGGACGGGGGATCCGCCGTTTTCCCGGGTGGAGGAGGATCCTCCGGTAGCCCGGTGTTGTCCACCTCCATCATCTGCTCCCCCCTTGCCCCCTCCTCCGGCGGGGCGGCGTGCCGTTCCATCGGCGGAGGGTCGCGGGGGGGCGGCATCACCTTCCGGTCCCGCGCCTCCTTTTCCCTCATGAGGTCGGCGACCTGAGCCCTGAGGGACGCCAACTCCTGCCTCATCTGCTCCGTCTCGCCCGCCTCCCCGCTCAGCCTCGTAGACAAGGCGCCCACGGCGACCCTTGTGTACAGGGCCCCGTCCCTTATCAAGTCAGCAAGGGTACCTTTTAGGTTCTTGCTGGCCGAGACCGCCCCGTCGATCCTGCTGCTGAACTTCAGCACCTCAGCAACAAGGTCGCGGGTGGGGAGTTGGGGGATTTGCTCCTCCAGCTCCCTCACCTTTTTCCGCCACTCGGCCTTGGTCCTGCTGAGGTCCCTCTTGGCCTTCTTGCGTTCGGCCATCAGAACGCCCTTTCCCGTCGTGGGCGGCCTGCCTCGAGCGTCCTTCCTCTCGGGGGAGGGGTTCTCCTCCTCCTCGCTGGAGCAGCCTTGGGAGCGCGCGTGCTTCGCGTCCTTCCCCCTTCGGCTGCTCCTGCTCCTCTTGGTGGCCCCCGATTTGGACAAGTGGGATTTAACACTGACGTCGGAGCCACTGTCCTCCTCGGGGTCCACCATGAGAAGACGTATCAGGCCCCCGTCAAAAATACCAAGCCGCGAGGGAACTCCGACGCCTACGCCGCGACCGTTTCCCCGGGATACAACCCTCGCGACTGTTGCTGGGGTTGCGGGCAACGAGGACACGTACGACGATACTGCCGACGACCACTGAAGTTGTTTTGCTCCCAGTGCGGGAAGGAAGGGGTGCTCACCCGGGACTGCCATGGAACACAGCCGGGAAACCCGATAGGGGCCGAGGGAAAGAAGGACAATCCTCGGCCCACCGAAGAATCAGGGACCAGCGACGACTCCTAAAACGCTACCTGCCCAGCATCAACCCTGACCACGACCGTACCGACCATCGACCAATGGGCCACATCCGAATACAAGGAAGAAGATACAACGCGCTATTGGACTGCGGAGCTGTACTCTCCTACCTCTCGAACAACGTGGCCAACCGCATCCGACACCGAGGACTCAGCCGCCGTATCACAACATCAGTACACCTAGCAAATGGACAGATCAGTCCTATTAATGAGGAAATTAAAATCGAAGTAGAACTGGGCCGATACCGAGGGACACACACTGTTAGTATCAGGATAGTCGGGATCGAGGTAGTTGGAGATAGGCGGTCGGCAACGGCCACGAAGTACTTCGTTTAGCAACACTTTCATTGCCGGGAATATGATAAACGTTACGCACGGTTCGCTCGTCAAAGGACAACTCACTACTCAACCGTTACAAAAGGGGGAGCGTCCGTTCCTTCTCCCCTTCCACTCTGGACATCTCGGTGGTGCCAACCATGCAAAGAAAACGCAACTAACATAACTAACGCGCTAAGCTAGGACCTCTTCTGACATCCTCCCCCCTTTAGATATTCACGCTTGTATCCGTGGATATCAAAAGAAACATAAACGAAATTCACAATCTTTCAGGACATCTTACAGTACGTCCGCTTCGGGTTGTATATGGAACAGGAAGCATACTCTCACCGCTTAACTTCACTACGTCTGCTACCTGTTTTTGCTTGTCACTCCTTACATTACGATTGCTAGTTTTTTAGTTAATCCTTTTATCATAGATTTTACTCAACTCCTCCTGTTCCATATCCGTGTCTACTTCTAGATAATACAATTTTTGAACGGGCCGCACCAGAAGACTCCTTGCGGTACGTAAACGCACGACTCTCACAACCCCGTCTTTTCCGGGGAAAAGCTCTATTACGCGACCTAAGGGCCATTCTATTCGCTTATTACATTCATCCCCAATGAGTACAACATCACCAACTTTTATCTGACGGAGCTCGCAGGATCTCCTCGAAGAAGCATATTTCAATTGCCCGAGGTATTCCACTCGAAAACGTTTACGTAGCTCTTCTTTTAAGAATTGCCGATATCTGAACCTACCCCTCAATCTTTCTCCGTCAACGAAATCACACTCAGGCAAACCTACCTCGCGAATTTCTTGCAGAAATAAATTAGACGTAATAGGAGCCAGATCCCGAGGATCGTCAGATAAATATGTCAAGGGACGGGCGTTAATCACGGATTCGCAATCACACAGGACGGTAAGCATCTCTTCGTAACACAAACACGCTTTTCCGAGTATTTTCCGCAACATGCGTTTCAATATCTGGATTAACCGCTCCCACCAGCCTCCCCACCAGGGGGCACTTGGAGGGTTGAACCTCCATTCTATCTTCCGCGACACACAAAACTCTTCGATTTTCACTCGATCAACTTGTTTCAACAAGTTGTTGAAACCTCCGAAATTAGTCCCGTTATCGCTGTATACCGTATTCGGCCGTCCCCTTCGGGATACGAATCTCCGAAACGCCTCCATAAACCTTTCCGCGGAAAGGGACGACACCAACTCAAAATGTACCGCTCGATACACCGCACAGGTAAAAATGCAAACCCAGGCCTTAACATCAGCCTTGAGATACAATGGGCCCGCAAACTCCACCCCCACGATCTCGAACACTCTCGCGTCGCGAACCCGATCCCTAGGTAAAGGGGCTGTCATCGCGTTCAAAGGTCGTACATTTTGTCGCGCGCAGGCAACACATTTCTTTACAATATGGCGGGCGGCCTTTCTTCCGCGTATTATCCAATGGTTCTCCCTGAGGGTATTGAGCAAGGTGCTGACCGGGACATGTCCCAACCGTATGTGAGTATAAAGAATCATCATGCGAACTAGTTCGTTCTCCCCCGGCAGAACCACTGGGCAACGAAATGAAAAGTCATCGTCGCGCTTCAATATTTTCGATTTCGTTCGGGTCAAACCGTCTTCGTCGACAAAAACATACATATTACGCAGTTGTATGTCATCGCTCCCGCTGAACGATTTATGTTGTACAATCTTAAAAATAGTTCTTTCCGCACTCTTTAGTTCATCTAGCGTTAACCTCCCTCTTTTACGTTCGCCTGACTTGTCGGATTTACGCAACCTATAATTATTAACGAATCGCTTTATGCGAGCAAAAGCTCCCACTACCGTACGGAAACTAGAGACTTGAGGAACATAAAAGGGAACTATTTTCCCGGTACAATTCATTTGAGCCATCTCCGCGATAATTTCTGACTCCAGGATTTCCCTGTTTACATTAGCAGTTTTGCGTATTTCGTTTTTTATTTCGTCCTCGCAATACGTTACACTTGAGATTGGCCACTCACATTCGTTACCTCTTAGCCAGTTCGGACCGCTCCACCAATTCACACTACGGAGCATACTGAGCGCACAGCCACGTGACGGCAAATCCGCCGGGCTTAAGTCCCCCGGAATGTGCCTCCATTCACTAAGACTCGACAAACTTCTGATCTCTCTGACCCGATTGGCAACAAAAGGGGCCCAGGGACAATTGCGTTGAATCCAGAATACTACGGTGCTAGAATCACTCCAATACGTAACTCTTATCGACCATCTTAAGGGATTTCAAAGTAGAACGCGCTAGTCTGGTTCCCTTGCAGGCTGCCAAAAGTTCAAGTCGAGGAATCGTTATGGAAGCAACTGGTGCCACCCTTGCCTTCGCCGTAACAAATGAAATATTGACTTCGGAAGCACATTCCATTCGGGCAAAGATCACAGCAGCATACGCCTTTTTACTGGCATCGCAAAATACATGACACGTTATGTTAGTCTCGCGCATTGGTGAGACAAACATCCAGCGAGGGAACCGAAGATCGTTCAACTCAGACAGACTGCTTAGCCATTTTTTAAACTCGTCTCGAATCTTATCATCAACCTCGTCATCCCACCTGATTTTAGAAACCCAGATTTGTTGCAACAAAAGCTTGGGAGTAATCATTACAGGGCATACCAAACCGATCGGATCAAACACGCGATGTGAATAAGAGAGTATAAGTCGTTTCGTAATTTTCTCGTTCATGATCCCCTCAATCGAAGGAACCACGAGTCGCAAGGTATCTTCCTCCTTATCCCACACCAGGCCTAACACCGGTATATCTCTCCCTTCCGTTTTTGACCCAGAATTTTCCCATCCTCGAAGTTCAAATGCTCCCTCACTCATAGCAAGACTCGCATCATGTCTGAATTGCTCGACCTCGATCATTGTGCTCAAACTAGTAACACAGTTGTCTACGTAAAAGCTTTCCATCAACTTAGGAAGATTTTTCTCTGGATTCTTAAACCTAAATTGCATTTGTTTGTCGGTAAACAGTCGTTTCAAATGATGGTCGATCACCGCCCCTAAAAGGAAAGGGCTGCACGACACACCAAAAACTACGCGAACATGTCGATAAGTTATTATGTTTCCCAGTTCATCATACCATAGGAATCTTAATGAATCTCGATCCTTTTCAGTTAAACATATTTGCAAAAATGCTTTTCTGATGTCACTAACAACACCGATTCTTTCCATACGAAAACGCATTAAAATAGTGGAAATAAGCTCAATCAAATTGGGCCCCTTTTCTAAACATTCATTAAGTGATGGAAAGTTTTTACATTTTGCGGACGCATCGAACACCGGACGCAGCGGGGTGGTACTATTTTCTTTGACGACGCCCCTGTGAGGCAAATAGTGTGCTTCCTTGTCGACTTCATGGTCGGGTACCGCTTCGATGATTCCTTCCTTCAACCAATCTTGAAAAACTCGGTCGTATTCCTCGTACATCATGGAAGATCTCAGTTTCCTCGCGGTCGTAATGAGCCTCCTCTCAGCTAACTCCTTGTTGTCGGGTAAAACGGGATGTGTCTCTATCCACGGAAGACACACTTCATATCGTCCTTCCTTATTGACGGTAACTGTTTCCTCGAAACGCTGCATAACCTCGTCGTCATGATCTTTGCGGGACTTCTCTTTAATCGGGTCGTTAATACCGATCACATCAAGCTCCCAGAGATCAGACACACCGGCTTCACGCTGAAACATAGAAATAACCTGCCCAGCAATATCACTAGCAATAGGTTTAGGAACTTGACCCATCAATGTCCAGCCAAGATATGTCTCGATCGCGGACAAACCACACTTCAATTGCACCGTGCGACCAGTCATCAGTTTTCCCGCTATGTCCGCTCCGATGAGAACTCTAATAGGTGCGGCGCGCTCACATTTACTCGGTCCGTCGGAGAGTTGTACGCCTAGCTCCGCCAATTCATCCATCCACGGCTGCTTCTCCCACAGTGGAATCTCCGAGCATATTTCTTCTTCGTCAAATGCTTTGAAGTTACAGGAGTAACTATTGTCCAGACTGGCTAAGTGAACTAAATATTTCTTGTGCTCCTTAACCTTCGACGTGACATTGCCGAAAAGCGAATGCCTGAGCTTGTGTTCACTGATTGGTTCATATTGCATGCGACGAACAATGTCTTTAGTAACGTAAAATCGAGTGGAACCTGGATCGAAAAACAACCGCACCACGCTCTCTTCTTGGCCATTCCGAATTTTGGCATGTAGCGTTTGTAAAATAACATCCGCTCCTCTGGTTTGGTTGGAATTTGATAGCACTTTCTCTTTACTGTCGTCTACGTTGGATGGCGTCGCCGTTACACTCCCTTGGCTGTTTACATCGGGACACATTAACACCACGTGTCGACGGCTGCACAAAGCACACTTTTGACTACCGCGACACGCGCGACTCTGATGCCCGATCCTTAAGCAGTTGAAGCACGCGTTTTTCCGTTGTAAAGCTGCCTTCTTTTCGTCCATTGTCATTTTCCGCGCCTTTTCGCACTTCGTGCTCGCGTGTTCACTTTCACAGAACACACAGCTGCTGGGTTTGCTCGGCTTTCCCTGCGCGTGCAGGCTAATAGCAGACGGCGTATTTTTAGAGGAATCCGAGTGTTGTTTCTGTTTCGACGTCTTGCGTTCATCTCTCTTCAAGTCGAAACCATGCATGGCTATCGTTATCCTTTCTTCGTTCTCCACCTCAGAGCGTAGAAACTTGATTAGTTGAGTAAGACGTTCTTCCTTCGGTTCTCCTTCCACTTCAATCGGCACGGGATGGCGCTGCCAAGCCCGCAAAAGTTCCTCTGGTAAAGAGGACTCGACCAGCGGCAGTAACATGGCCCCGCATTTGTCTGATGTCACACCGAGAGATTCGAGAGCTCGTAGCTGGGCCTCTATCTTGTCATACAAACTGGACAACGGCATCCGGTCTTCTGGCTTCATGACGTTTTTCATAACTAGCTTGAGAAGCTCGCGCACGTACACCTCCACAAGCACTTCGTCTCGACCGAATCGATTTTTCAAACTCGCGATCGCACCATGGACCTAAGAATCTCTGGACCGAGCATACAGCGAGGGGGCTGTTAAATTCGCGGTAAGGGGAGGATAGTACTGTCTCTTTCTACAAGAGGTCACCGTCGGGTATTTCCGCCGTATATCCGATGATTCCCGAAAGACTAGACAAGTCTATACTCGCTAACTTCTGAAGTCCAGAGATTCTTACGTCCATGTTCCCGTCGAGAAATTATTATGTATAGACTATACACAAACTTCGACTATCTTCGGTTACATTCGTCATCAAGCCGAATGTGACCTCTTGTAGAATGAGATACCAAGAGGACAGAAAAGGAGAGCACTCTCGTCCCCCTTACCGCAAATTTAACAGCCCCCTTGCCCGTCCTCCCACTTCGTGCTCGGTCCAGAGATTCTTAGGTCCATGGATCGCACCGTCATAGTTCGTGTCAACCGGGGGGAAACTGCCCACCAGTTCTGCTGCACGCGATTGTGGTGCCATCGTTTGTATGAGGTACTGAAACTTATCTCCTTTATTGATGGTGGCATCTTCATGTATCTTCTTGAACTGTGACCAAAATGGTAGCCATTCTCTAACGTCTCCATTGAATTTTCTCAGCTCAATTTTAGGCAACTTCATCGTAGCTTTGGCGTTGATGGGCTGCACTTCAGTCGTCGGATTTTCCGTGCTATTTCCGGCCTTGCTCGTGACGGTGGATAAACGCGTCATGACTTCCATCCGCGCACGGATATATTTGCGGTTATACTCGTCATTGCCCTTTACTTCCGCTTCGATTGCCTCTTCTTTCACCTCTTCTGCCTTTATCATATGCGAGATATAAACCGAGTTAGCGTCCTCCAAAGCTTTGTTCTTATCTTCGAGAACTTGCAAATACACTTGTAACTCGTTTACACCCGTAGCACTCGTCGCAGCCTCGTTGATCCTATCCCCCAAGTCGTTGAGCGCGCGTGTGAACGCCCCTCGCATTACGGTGCGAGCCTTCTTTGCGGCTTCCATCTTAGACTCACGTTTCTTGCGCTGCACAAATCCCGCGACTATCCTTTTCACAGTCCTGTCACGGTCGCCAAAATGTTAGTATCAGGATAGTCGGGATCGAGGTAGTTGGAGATAGACGGTCGGCAACGGCCACGAAGTACTTCGTTTAGCAACACTTTTATTGCCGGGAATATGATAAACGTTACGCACGGTTCGCTCGTCAAAGGACAACTCACTACTCAACCGTTACAAAAGGGGGAGCGTCCGTTCCTTCTCCCCTTCCACTCTGGACATCTCGGTGGTGCCAACCATACAAAGAAAACGCAACTAACATAACTAACGCGCTAAGCTAGGACCTCTTCCGACACACACCTTCCACGTCCTCCCCGGCCTCACGGTGGACGTAATCGCGGGGATGCACCTACTTAATAAAGCCGGATTCCAATGGACACTACCCGGCCTAGCCGCCCTTCAACCGACCGATGGGGACGAGCAGGAAACGGACTGACCGAGTGTTCACCAGAACAACAGAATCAATTACGCAGGCTACTCGAGGAACTACTACCAAAGTTCGAACAGACGAAGAACACAACACAGATGACGGAACATCGGATCCGCCTACGCACCGGACAAGAACCGATACGCCAGCGATATCGGACTTACAACCCCGCGATGCAGGAAATCATCGACACCGAGATAGACAAAATGCTGAGCGAGGGATGCATCGAACCAACCAGCAGACCCTGGAATTCCGGCATAGTGCTAGCCCGAAAGAAAGATGGCCGATATCGCTTTTGCATCGACTTCCGCAAGGTAAACGAAGTCACCGAGAAAGACGCGTACCCACTACCACCGGTCCAACACATCCTAGATCAACTCCGCGACGCACGATACCTATCGACGATCGATCTCCGGAACGGGTACTGGCAGGTACCATTACACATGGACAGCAGACCACTCACCGCATTCGCAATCCCCGGGCGGGGACAATTTCGGTTCAAGGTAATGCCCTTCGGGCTACACGCCGCGCCGGCCACCTTCCAACGGCTACTCGACAGAATCATCGGACCAGATATGGAGCCCCGGGCGTTCGCTTATCTCGACGACATAGTCGTACTAGGCCGGACGTTCGACGAACACCTCCACAACTTGCGAGAAGTCTTACAGCGACTACTGGACGCCAACCTGCGGATTAATAAAGACAAATGTCAGTTTGGTAGAACGAGCCTACGATACTTAGGCCACGTGGTGGACCGAGAAGGACTACGTACAGATCCGGAGACGGTAAGGGCTATATTGAAGATACCCACCCCAGGCTCAGTACCCGCCCTAAGACGGTTCCTTGGCATGGTTTCGTGGTACCGGAGATTTATCCCAGACATCGCCACCGTGATGGCACCTCTCAATAACCGACTACAGGCGAGGGCTCGCTGGGAGTGGGGGATGGCCGAGGAACGGGCGTTCCAAACAGTACGAGCACAACTCGCCACCGCACCGGTACTCCAATGTCCAGACTTTACGAAAACCTTCGTCCTGCAGACCGACGCCAGCGACGTAGGATTGGGGGCCGTCCTGACACAGGATATCGACGGACAAGAACGGGTCGTGGCTTACGCCAGTCGCACGCTCCGCCCAGCCGAGAAAAATTTTTCAGCCACCGAGAAGGAATGCCTGGCAGTAATCTGGGGAATAGAAAAAATGAGACCGTACCTCGAAGGATACCACTTCCGCGTCATCACCGACCACTTCTCCCTACGGTGGCTACGCACACTGGAGAACCCGACCGGCAGACTGGCGAGGTGGGCGGTATCCCTGCAACAATATGACTTCGAGGTAGAGTACAGACGAGGATCGCTGAACCACGTCCCCGACGCGCTGTCACGACAACCTGTAGAGGAGGGGGAGGAGTGCACAACCACAGAATTGGCCACCATCAGCCCGACGGAAACATGCACATGGTACGAGTGGACAAAACAGAAAGTACTGTTGCGTCCGGCTCCGCCGTCCACACGACACCTCGCGCACTCGCGCACTCGTCGGCTCGACTTCCGCTCGCGGCGCACGCCACCGGGCCGCGAAGAAATCAATAAAGATTGGAAATCAACAAGGGAACTTTATTTAGTAAAGAACACACGTCTGTACTCTCCAAGAGCCCAGAGACAGAATCACAAAATCAATAATCAACAACCGCGCATCGGTCCTTCGCGACCGATCTTTTAAACCGCCGCGACTTCAGCCCGCGGCTGGCGCGCACTCCCAGGGCGTCGCATCCGAGCACGGGCGTAACAGTACTAACAAACCCGCAGCAACACCCAGACTACAGATTACAAGGAAGCTACCTATACCGACACTTCCAAGGGAGATACTCCAACAACGAGGACACCGACACGACCGCCTGGAAATTATGCATACCCAAAGACCAAAGGGAACAGACACTACAAGAATGTCACGACGCCGATACAGCAGGACACCTCGGGATCACCAAAACGATCGCCCGACTCATGCAACACTACTACTGGCCGGGAATGACGAGGGAAGCGGCAAAGTACGTACGCCAATGCAAGAGCTGCCGACTCCATAAGGTGCAGCAACAACAAACAGCCGGACTCATGCACCGTAGCCAAGTGGAAGAACCAGCAAACGTTATAGCAGTAGATCTAATCGGACCGCTACACAGTGGGGCAAAGTCCCGATTTCGTGGCCAAAAATCCCAAATTACCTGTACGAGGGTTTTCGAGGTCGCTGATTACGAATCTGAGGTCAGATTTTCAAAATTCAAAATGGCGGATCCAAAATGGCGGCCAGAACTGTTCATACGTTGAAAATATGAAGTGAAA